ATTGTAAATGTTTACATGACTTTATACCGTGGTTGGATTAAAGAAAATATGAAAAATATGTCAAATTTTATTAAGAGAGTAAATTATTCGCAACAAAGGCTTGAAGGAAAAAAGTTTATTCTGCACTTTCTCGACTTACTTTTACCGGACAAAGAAATCTCCTTATGTATAATTGTTTTATAGGTTTATCTCCACCGTATATAAATTAATATTGTCTAAATGCAGTGAAGCCTTCAAAGAGAGTTGAAAAAATTTACCTCTAGTAAAAAGGTCATCACAAGTGTTTGAGAGTGAGCTTACAGCTTAAAGAGTTTTCTTTCTCGAGAAATACAAATTATCATCAGTGTATTGAAAACCTGGAAGATTATGTTGAAAAATAATATGACTTACATTAAATGTGTTTCTTTTATTTCGTATATGATTATTGAATTATAATTTATATTTGAACGCTCTTCATATGTTTATCTAACAAATTACATCATAAATGCAAAATAAAATTTCTGTTACGATTAAAGTTTGATAGGACAAACTAGCAGATATTTTTCGGTTTTAATTTCGATTTTTTTATTAAAGAAAATCGGAATCGTTTAACTTGCGATACACTTCGATTACAGTTATGATATTTTTAGTTTTTTATGTTCCTAGTTTTTTATCTTTTAATTAAACTACATAAATTTATACTTTTTTCTTTCTATTTTTATTTCTACATGTAATCGACAATGCTACTTTTTAGTGCGATTTTTATAATTTCTCGTTACGTATTAATTTTTATAATTATAGACACTTTAGATATGTACACTTAATTAATAGATGGAAAGAAACGATATAATTATAAAATTTTCACTGGTTGATTTTATCGAGAATTTTATGTTATTTACACAACCCATATAGAAAATGTTCGTTACATAAAACGGAAATACGCTGTGCAATTTTCCTATAAAAACAGAAATATATAATTAAAGAATGGAAAGAATAAAGCGTTGCTTACATTCTATTCATTTTTTCTATTCCTCTTTGGTGTTTTCAATATGTAATTATGACATTAAGGAAGCAAAACTTCCTCAGAAAATAGCGAGCATACAAAAGTCTTATCTCCAGTGCAATTCTATGTGAAACGGATAAGCGTGTTACGATAATATTAAATGTGTGATCATTAATCATATGGGAAATATCTCACGAGAACAATTCAATGCAGCTAGCTTACCTTTCTTTAATACATTAGTTATCAGAACGCGCGTCATTTGTTCGTCTCTTTTAGATTATATCAGCGTTTTTCAATTCGTTTTAGATTATATCATCTTTTCAATTTACGACACATTAAATAACGAGTAAAAACAAATGTGTCGACCATCATTAAGTACACTTTAATGATCAACATAGATTTTTTATCAAAAACCGCTAACACGACATTCAGATATAAAGACTAAAGTTTTAATTTTTATTTTATTATTTTAAAAATAATTTTATTGCAATGATAGTATCGTTTTGATTAAAACGGGGGTGATATAATTTAGGTAATTTTCACCATTTCTAAAATATTTTTTACTTTGCGCTTTATTCGCTTTTTTATTTATTTCTTATTTTTTTCACTTCTTTTTATTTTTCTTAATGTTTTTGTGGTACACTTTGAGATTCTTTTTACGGCTTTCGCAACACTGATTAAAAAATTCTACATTATATATCAACTTTTGTTTAATTTCTTAATTTCTCTACAATTTGGTATTATTTGCATACATCATATACAGAATTTTTAATTATATGTTATTACTGCATTCGTTCTTTTTATTTAGAACGCAAGACAAGAAATCAATTTTTAAGAGTACTTTGTATTCAACATTTAACTATATTATTATCCCGTTATAACAATTTTTCATCCTTTTTCTACCTTATCTTTTTGTGCTCTGTCCGCACATTAACTTGAAGGCTTGCAAAATTCCGTATTGAAGATATGGAATTTTGCAAGCCATCGACAACAGATGTGAACGTTTATCTTCACCAAGTGTTTTTATAATGTTCGATAAATACTTTTTTATTGCATCTGTTGCATTATGGTCAAGTTAGCGGCTCATAGCAATCGACAAGAATTAAAGGTGTATCAGATGTACAATCCCTGTAAAAAGTGATTGGAATTGGAAATTTATATTTTCCATATAAAAATATGAATTTATGCATATAAAACAACAAGACCTCCAAGCGATGTCCTAAAGACATTCAAAGAACGTGTATCCTCTTATGCCCAGTTTTTCATTATCTGGCTAACTTAGATTTAATATCTGATATTTTATCCAATAGGCTTCATCTATGATGATGTCATGAATAAAACTTATTTGTGTGTGGTGAAACATCAGGTTAAGCTTAACCATAAGTTAACCAGATAATGAAAAATTGGACATCTTAAGGATACCTCTCTGATAAAATATGTTATAATGTTGTATTCGATAAGATTAATATTTATATTTAACAATTTACAGATTAAATAAAAACATTCTCGTTTTATTCTAATTAGTTTTTAAAAATATGTTAACTTCTTATCGAAATAATTTTTAAATCAATTTCTAAATCACTACCAAACTTTTTGTATTACTTTCAAAAATAATTAAAAAATCTTATCGTAATTCTTTTTCTTTTTTCGAAATATGTGTAATACATTCTTAAATAATCATTAAAGTCGCTTGATCAAGTACCTGTCTTATCTCTAAAACAAAATCGATTTTGCTTCTTCCGTTTCGGCAACAAAACTATCGTGAGTAATTGAGATAAGTGGTTGACCGCGTAGTAGTTACTTCCGTCTATTCCTTGATTGGTCTTCCTATCAAGAGGAATCTTAGACTGATCGATCGATTTCAATGTGCCGATCGCCGACGACGCGCTCTATCGATGTCAATGAACCTTTTTACCTTCGATTGAAAGACGCAAGGTGCCATCGAGGTACGAGAAGGAGAGGTGAGCAGTGTCCGAGAACTGGAGAGGTGAACAGAGCGCAATCGTAATTTCATACCCGTCACGTTCACGATTGGTCAAACGGCTCGATACTGGCCTCGAGAATGTCAACCGTTCACGAGTACCGTTTGCCTTGACGGATTGACTGTGGAACCTTTTTACCCGGTATGGATCATTGCGCTAGCTAAGCCACCCTTTCGCGAGAAGGAGAGCGCTGACAATGAGATCACATGACTAGTCGAGGGCAGGGTCACGGATACAGCTTCTCGATTGTCTTGAAAGTTTAATCTGCTGGCTCGAGTAACATATATGTTAAAGAATTTTTCCTGAGCCTGAACAGTGTCCCTCTCTTTTTTAATTATTCACAAATATTTTACTTCAATTTTTAATATGTAAAATATTGTGTAGTAGTTTTTTAATTTAACATTTAATTGTACAATATAAGCTAAAAGTATTAGTCAAAAAATTAAAGAAAGCTAATATTAGCCAAAAAAGTTTTGGCAGTGAATACACCTTGAAACTAACTTTAAGAAACAAAACAACAAATAATTTAGTTTATAATAGTTTATATTGCTGCAGTTTTAGATAAATAAAATAAATAAATAAAATAAATAAAATAAATAACTTTTAAACGAGTAAGTGAATCTAAATGAATTATTATAAATATTTATTAAAATATCATTAGTATAAATATTTATTAAAATTTCAGTAGTATATATTAACATTTAAAATTTTTAGTATATACAAAAAATATAGAATAAAATATTTTTTTTAATTTTTAATGACATTTTTATTTTCATATTTGCGATTTTTTATAAAAAGACAAACAAAAAAATTCATTTAAAATCTTCAAATTCATAAAGACTTTTAAACTAATAAGGGAATCGTGCTCAAATCTTATAAAAATATGTAATGATAGAACAATTTATATATTTTAATATTTTTGATAACACTTAAGATGTGGCACATACATTCTTAAAAATCTTTTTATAATTTTTATATAATTTTTTTAGATTTATAAAAAAATAAAATTTGTGGAAAAATTTTCTCGTCGTAAAAATATGCAAACTTTAGGAGAATAATCACGTGCGAGAAAGAACATTCACGTTACGTGCGAAGTAATTTGTTGAGGAAATGAAGCTATTTATGGCATGGCAGAGCAATCGCGAAAAGATTACAGTAAATTTTCGTTACCTCGACACAAAGGGCTATTTCACGTATCTTCAACATCGTGCGAATTTAACAGTTCGAAATGAGGGACCTTTCTCGTTTAAATAGGGCCGAGGTGCGAATCAACGTTACCGTAAAGTACCATTTCAGAGTACCGTTTGAGCGCGAAATTATTTCATCTGCGACTGGATCAAGCACGAGAGATCTTTCTCACGCAAGCATGGCAGGGCTAATTACGTCCTAATGATGATATAATTATATATTTTTTTACGCGACGGAATGAGGAAGTTACCATTGCAATTTAATATTTTTCTTCATTTGCTGCAACAGTCACTTGTGCGGTCCTCTGTCCAACCTTTTGATTTCTCACACGCCGACACGGTCAGTTTTAAAATGCAATTCGGTTTTCTGAACAGCCGCGTTGATATAATATTACGAAAAAAGTTCATCAACCTTATACGCGAGTATTATATACCGCGAGTTCCTCGAGCATGGCAAATATTCCCTATACGACCGTAGGTCTAATAATCTTCACTTCAGTGGTTTACCGTTTTAATATTCGCGTAAAAAGTACGAGCGTGCATTATATTTAGGTTTATCGCCCTCACGTATGAAGTCTGCAATATAATCGAGCATAAAACTCGATTTCCTGTAACATCCTATTATCAAAATCTCGAAGGTGGAAAATTCTAACTTGAAATTCAATTATATTATTAATTAAAAATGTTAAATAATTAATATATAATATTTATTTTAATAATAGTTATTTAAAACAGGAAAAAGAAAGAAAACAAAAAAATATAATTTGAGATAAATTCTCTATTCTTTCAAGAAAATATTAATAAAGTAGGTATGTGGAAAAGATAACGTTAATTTTCGTTCACTTTTAGGAGTATTGGCTATACAGAACGATAAAACATCTTCTCGAATGTCTCGGGAAAATATCGTGTTGAGTGCTAGTGCTTACACTGGTCCTGAAAAAACATCCAGTAGAAGTCACCCAGATGAGTCTTGGACTTTCCAAAGAACCGTTCCGGCGTTTCAACTAGAAAGCTCGAAAAACGTTAACGATTACGATAGGGAGGAGACCAGAATTGTGTTCAAGGATACGAGTCACGACGAATCTATCAACGAACTAACATCGTCAAAGCACGTGGCCCATATCGACGGTAATAACATCGAGACGAAAGCCGGCGAGTACTATCAGTAAGTTTCATTCTGTTTCTATGAATACTGATAAAAGGGCGAATTACACGCAAAGGACGTCTATATAAACGTAAATGGATTCTTCGTATTAACAGTACAGTTATATAAGATCCTGTTGTGAGCATTAGATGTCGATATTTGTCAAAGCTTCAATTACGTGAATCCATCAGAGTTTCAATTAACTCGATCTGTGTTTCTACTCCGAGTAAAATGTAAAAAAAGGAACTAAATATTATATTAACAATAATCAACGTAAATTGGTTCGTTTTAATTCTAGTTAAAACTATGATTAATCTTTTAAAATAATTTGTCATCACAAGTAGTATAGTGCCTACCACCAGCGAATCGATGTCGGGGGAAGGACAAGGGGCTCCGCTGAGAGTAGATCTCCTGTCGGAGCCCCATCAGCTGGTTGGCGCGCCGAGGCAACGAGCACAGCATTCGCCAGCGGATCAGCAGCGGCGAGGTCGTCAAGAGACCTCGAGGACCTATAGCATGCCGCCAATTTTGCAAACCGCTCCACCAGGTAGACAAGCAAATCCTGATATACAGGACATTATCACCGGTATCGTCAAGTTGCTCAATGGCAATGTAAATGTAGCCGCGAACACTGTGAGGCCGTTGAGGCCGATACAAGCTACGAGGTAAGAATTTTAATTTTCCTACACAGAAAAGACTGTTTTGCTAAAATATCTCAAAATTTAAATAGATACAAATTAAAAAATAACTTTGTTGAACTATCAAAATAATTTAGTAGGTCACTTAAACAAATTGCTATGATATCAAAATTTTTTGCTCATTATGCTTGAAATTCTTATTCTCAATTATTTTGATGGTCCAATAAAATCATTTTCAAGTCTATATTTAATTTTTTTAGGTACTCAGCAAATTCACTTTTATATCATATTTTACGCAATACTATTATATGACGATTTAATTAATTTCTTTTAGCATTAGAATTATTAATTTTTAGAATTATTAATTTTTGAAAATATTATTTCACATATTTTTGCGTATTTATGTTATATATTTATAAGAAAAATATCAAGAGACGATGGGGGGAATGCCTTTATATATTAAAAATATATATTTAAAAAATATTACATAAGGTAAATTTTTGGCGCAAAAGAATCTCAAAAATTCGCATTAATTATTATTTCAATAGAGATGCAAGCATGACAAGTACGCATGTATGTTTCATTATTGGCAATAACATTGAATTTGCAGGATCAATAACAGAGGACCACCCAGAATATCAGATGTGCCACCATTACCATCAGACTTTGACACTCCTGGCATGAATCCACCGCCGCCACCATCATCACATCCTTATCCATTTGAAAAGCCTCCTGCACCTGACAGACCGTTGTTGCCACCTGAGAGACCCATTAGACCCTTTATCAGCGGAGTGCCATTACCAGAACAAGTCGTGCCGCCTTGGAGTTGGGATTCTTCTTATAGTACGTCGTACAACCATAAATAATTATGCACTTAATTAATTACTTATTTCGCATGGGTACTTTAACATAACAGGACGTGGCTATACAAAATAAAATAATTTTCCGGGTAATTTTAATGAAATGAGACTTATTTAATTATAATTACAAAATAATCTTTATTTTACAATATTAAAATCATACGGAAAAAAATTAATTAATTTTTCTTTAAAGATGGGAACAGACGACCGTCACCTTATCCTCCGCTATCATCATTGGATTCCTCCTTCCACCGCGACAAAAACCTTTCAACGACAGAGAACTCGCAGTATGATTTAAAACCGGAATCCGAAACGCCTCAGGAGAGCTCCACGATAAAGAAAGATGCCAGTCATCAAGAAACACTTATCGAAGACGACGATACTAAGAATTATGCGAGTAATTCTAGCAAAGATCGAGTCGAAACCACGGTGGCGTTCGATAATTCAACTATTCAGAATGCAACAAAGAAACACGAACCCGAAGAGTCTACAAAGAAGCCTATTAATCACAAATATTATACACCGTCGAAGGAAAACAAAATCAACAACGAGGAAACATTGATCCTTGGTCTTGCTACGGACGTCACTTCGACTCACACGATACCACATCTAGAGTCTTCGGTAGCATCTTCGAACAGTGAGATCAAAGTTACAAAATCTTCGAAAAACGAAGAAAAACCGTTTTCGACATCCAAAGGAGAAAAATCGCCCGAGAAAGTTACCTCGACCATCTTGAAGACTTTTTCGACCAGCACCTTGAATATCGAGACTAGTTCATCGGTTCAAGTGATCGAATCTATGTCGACAAGAGTCGTCCTTCGACCGACCGCGACTACCGTGAAATCAAGTGTTGATACTAAGTTTGGTGTGAGTTTGGAGCCTAGTAGTACATCAGATATCGAATACATAGAAACGACGTCCAGCGTTTCGACACCGACCGACGGTCTCCCTACGACTTACTCGAAGAACTTGGTCACAACAGAGAAGAACATTCATCCCACGACTTCAATATTCACGAAAAATACAGGCAAGTAAAAGATTAGAGACATTAGAGTCGTGCATAAATATTAAGAAAGATTATTAAGAAAGTTCTGAATTATTCTTCGAGTTTTATGTACATAAACGATTTTTACATATAAATTTATTTAGAAATAATAATTATTCCTCAAAATCATTATGTTCGAAAACTGTTCATCACTAATCTGTTTGATATATATATATATATATATATATATATATATATATTTTATATGAGATATATTCATGATATATAAGATATCGTCCGCGACCTGGGATTGTCTTGGACGATACTTTGGATTATACTGGAGCGCAAGGATTACCAAGTCAAAGACCTTATATACCCTCGAGACATCCATCCTTTGGTGACGTCTTTGACGTAACAGTTTCGGCTATTCAAGGACCCGGAGGAAGTTCTGGTAATATATTTTTGTTTAAATATAAAAAAACGAAAATCTTTTTAAGTGACTGAGTTTCATTAACTATAATTATTTTTTAATTTAATTTAGGGGAGAGCGTTAGAGTGTCTCTAAATTCAGGCGGCAGCGGTGGTGACGTTATATTAACTTCTGCAATAGGTGGAGAAGGTTTTGTGAGTATTGACGGCAAAAGAACATATCTGAATCTATTCGATACCACGGAACGGACGCCCACACCTACCCATGTACAATCACAACCACCTAGAACACAACCGCCATCCATCATCGGCACTGGGTATGCCTTGATTTAATAGAATGCTTTTTCGAGAATGTATTATGTCAGTAAAAAGAAATATATTTTTAAAAGCTTTTTGATTTAAATCTTCTGCCAAACATTAGACAATTTATTAATAATTTGTTTTTTGTACCCTTTGTTACCCTTGGAAAAAAGTTCATGATGATGATAAGACAGCTAACTTGATCAAGGATAAAAATATATAAAGAATAAATATATATTACATAAAAAGTTTCTATTTCTCTTATCCAGTCTTGCTATTCCACAACCGGACTCTCCTGTTGCCACTTCCCGTCCGAATGTACCAAATCGAAGGCAACCACCGTTATATCGAAGACCGACGCAGCCACCTGTCAGAATAGACACTTGTATCGTAGGTGACACAAGTACGTGCGACGCAAGTCAACACGAAGCTTGCGCGACGGTTCAAGGAGTATCAGCTTGTCACTGCAAGCCAGGATATGCGAGATTGCAACATTCGTTGCCATGCAAAAGTTAGTAAGCGTCTAAAAATTACAAGATACACATTACAATTACACAGTTTGCATCCAATGTTTCTCTTTCAGAGATCGTCAGTATTGTCGTGTCAATTAGAGTTGACAAATTTTATGACAAGAAAGTCGTATGGGATCGAGGATTAGCTGACAAGGATTCAGAATCTTATCAAACTCTTGCTTATGAGGCTAATAGAGCCGTAAGTATATAAATTAAATATAACAATTAAAGTTATTACATTTATTTAATTATTATAATTCTTAATTATTATTTAAAATATGAATAAGACGTTTAAAAAATAACTTAAACTTTTTTTTTTAAAATAAATTTTATATTTTAGCTAACTAACTAAATAGTGTATTGATTTTTTTACATACATTATATAAATATTAAACATTTTTAATTATGTCTATATCTGATTATGAAGTAAAATAAAATATTTATAAAGTTTATCAAAAAGATCTCGATCAATTACTTATAACTTACTTAATTAGAATATACAATATAGTTTATTAAATTGATTAGAACATAGATAGAAAAAAATTTATTTAACCATTTCTTTTTTTCTATTTATTAAATAAATGTAATTATCTGATTTATATTTATTGCGTTTATAATATGTTTTACAGGTTGAATCTGCCATGTCTATGACACCATTTTCGGATGAATATATGGGATCGCTGATAAACAATGTATATCAAGGAGACGTGAGCCAAGGACAAGGCGGAGTTTTCGTGAATGCAACCCTGAAATTAACTTACGAACCGAGAACAATTAGGTCAAGCTTAGCCGGTGAGCTTCAAAGACATCTGTTAGGTGTTATTCATAGAAGAAATAACAACATTGGAAACAGTGCCCTGTATGTGGATAGCCCACCAGGATCTATATCGAACTTACAAGGTAAACTCGATCGTTAATTGTAATTAGTAGCTATAACCGATGCGATATTTTGAACCGCGAAATATGATTATAAAAGTTATGAATTTCTAATGCAAGTAAATTTATAGATTTAGACGAATGTGTTTCGTCGGAGTTGAACGATTGCCATTCATCCTCTAGCTGTACTAACACTTTCGGCGGTTTCACGTGCACCTGTAATTCAGGATTGAAGGATCCTCATAAAAATGATCCTAATGAATCCGGCAGGACGTGCTTGTCGTGTCCCTCGACCTATTGCAATAATCGCGGCACTTGCTCCTATCAAGGAGATCAGATGCACTGCACGTAAGTAAACGCGATTGTACAAGTTCTTTGTCAAGTGCACTGAAAATTTTTTTCCAATCTTTAGATGCACCGGCAATTATTACGGCACACAATGCGAGGTCGACGGTGAAGTTTTGGGCGTCGCTATAGGCGCATCGGTGGCTGCGTTAATAATCATAATTCTGACTCTAGTCTGTCTCGTTATGTGGAGGTAATTATCATTAAAAGATGGCCGCATTCAGCAGAACATTTATTTTGTAACTGTTGGAAGTTTCCCTCGCTTAAAACTATATTTTCTCTAAAAGTATAATCCAATCAGCGCAAAGAAAACTTTCAACAGTTACAAAATATACGTTCTACTAAAAATAAATAATACAATCAATTATTATCATTGTACAGTAATATGTGAATTCAACTGTATCATTTTACAGTCGTAAGTGGTCTCGCGAACAAAAGTCTGCGGGTTCTCCGGTGTACGGTTACATCCAAGGTGGAATACCTGGTACTCTCCCAGGTAAAATCAATTAACAGATAAATTTAAACTTGAACTTTTGCTAGTGGATATATATTTAAAGACATAAATAATTTATAGGGACTTTAGCGAGGGTTGGTTCTGTAGGCACTTTGGCGTCTGTAAAACAAGGACCGCCAACGAATTTACCACCTTACATGTGGGCTCATTTTGGGGAACACATGGCTACTGCGAATCTCTATGCGGTATGCATCAATTTCTTTTATTAACAATAAAAGAGATGTAATAAGAATTTTATTAATAAAGAAAATATCGCGTAATTGATGTTGAAATTGGGGAAGCAAATAAATAAGACTAATAAATTTTAATATGTTCATAAATAGATAACAGACAATATAAATTTGATCACATAAAAAATATATGATCGTTATAGTTATCAACTACAAAGTATTTAATTAAGTCCATTAATTATCGAAGCTACAAATTGATTTTTATGATTTCTATGCAATAAATTATAATGATTAAGGTCACTAATTTTTCTTATTAAATCATTTTAGTTGTATTTATTAGTAAGAGTTTTGCTTGTTAATAAGAAACTTCTTAAAAATTTTTTTACTGGAAGACCGAACCCATGGGGGAACATTGCCTCCGGTCCCATTACCGCGCCTTCAGGCCCCATCACGGCCGAGACAAAGACCCCAACCAGATCCGGATAGCTCAGATTCTGAGCCGCAAGATAAAGACAGAGCTGACCTAATTCCTCAGAGCAGTGGTTTTCACGTGCCAAGGCCAAAATCGAGATCTTCATTAGCGGTGAGTATCCATTAATTCGTTGAATATGTATCATAATTCGGTGGAAAATGATAATTTTTAAAATTATAAAAATGATTTATTCTCATTATTACGAATTTATTTCTAAATTAAATATTTGATGTAGAGAAAGAGGATTGGTTTTTAAATTTATTTCTCTGGTATTTAGTAATACTTCTTTATTGAATTTTATAATGTACAATAATTAAATAGAATATATATACTGAATAAATGAAAAATTTATTTATGACGTGCATAGTTTTAATACTTCAATTTTAAATATAAATTTTATATAAAAGATCTCTTTAATCTCTTCATATTAATTGAAATTTAATAATAGATAAAGATAAAAAAAAAGTTCGATAATTATAAAATCAATTTCCAAGATAAAAAGAAATTCAATGACGTAAAGTAATTTTTAATCAATTCATTCTAAATCGTTATATTTTTGTGCAAATGCTTTGTTCTGATCCTTTTTCAATTTCCTCTTCCAATTTTTAATATAATTCAAATTGTTCGATTTCGTTTTAATCCGATCCGTTTGCAATACTATTTAATTACTACTACAGAATCTAACTGATTTTTAGTTATGTATCAATGAGTTGGCTTATATTTCAGAATCAAAGCGGCATATATAATGACGTGGAGTACGACCAGGGTGATGTTCATCATTTATCGAAGAATAACATCCCGATGTCTACTTACAGACCGTATTACAGAACGTGAAATTCGTTGCGAGTGGTGTAAGCGTACGTGTCAAGGGATTGCACTAAATAACCCATCGCGAATTTATCGTCTAAAGTGCTCAATAAATAGTGCATTAGGACACGGTGTGGTGCTGCTACTGCTGATGCTGTAAAGTAATCCCACGGTAGAAGCTGCAACTCGTTTCAGAGTCGTCTGAACAAACGAACTGAACATAGGAAGATTTGCACACGTGAAGTGGAAGTGAGCCTATTCGTAATCTTGCTCGCTATAAAGTCGTGTTCTTGTAGTCACGCGATATCGTATTTGCGATAGATCGATTAATTATACAATAATAAGTATAATACGCAGATATTTATTACCTATTCAGTTTCGTTATTTGAGTTAATATTTTGTAAAATTGAAAAGTTCATTCTCATATTAGATAGTTTTAAAGAGACATATGCGACGATTGCACATATTTGATTATTTTTAATTAATTTGTTATTACTGTTAGCTCAATACTCCGAGTAAAAATAATTTATAAGAGCAAATATATTGACTGTTTATGATTAGTTGTAATTGTTAAGCAGAAACTAACTGTTATAAATATACGTTATAAATATTAAACAATTTAGTAGAGAAAAATTTAATGTTTATGTTAAGTCACTTTAAGAATTTAAGAGTATTATTATAATTACAAATAATTTATTAAAATCTTTTTTTGTGAAAAAGGTGTACCGAAATCTAAGGGCAGTAAATAATTATTTTCTTACGCATCATGAGATATTAGATACTTTAATTCATTAAGCACTCAATGTAATTATATATTGTAATTATATTTTTTAGATTCAATACAAATGTCAATAAAATTTAATTTAGTTTTTACTTTGTCTGTCTAACTTGTTAATACAATAGTATGAGGCAAAAAATTAATAAAACATATACGAAACTGAGAAATTAAAGCAATAATAAGTAATTTAGCAAGTGCAATTAAAGCATAATCAAAATTTAATTAGAATATAATTACAGCAAAAGTATTATAATTTTCAAATTAATTATTTACAAAATGGCAACGAAAAAAATATAAAAAATATAATTTAAATAAATATAAAAAATATCATTCAAATAAATAATTCAATTTTCGCAGAATATATCACAAGCGTATACGATGTCAGATTACATGCAACGAGAATCAAATAAATAATACAGCGTCACCAGACACGTTATTTATTTTCTAGTGATATGTGAAAATTTAAAAGATTTTAATTCGATTGTGTGACGAAGCTGTGCGCGTCGCAGTTTGCACACGTCAAGTGCCATCGATCCGTGTGACACACACGCGGTCGAGACAACATTGGCGAGAATAAAATATTTAGTCGAGTGAACTCCCAACGAATGAACACTAGATACGTACGTACTAGTATAAGTAGGAGAGGTGAACAACCTCGATCGATTTCCATCGATTTCCTGTGAGGTTGACTGCTCAATGTTTCAAGTGTTTTATCCTCTTTAGATCCATGATAGTCAGAAGTTGCAAAAATTGCGACACAAAATTTCGCTCATCTTTTTAAATGTTCTACTACTATGTTTTTCATCACTTTAAAGTAAGATCACTTGCATCATTTTTGCAGAATTTTAATTTTAATCTTAATATGATATTTTCTGGTTAGTTTCACCAAAATCACGGAAATGACTAATTAAATCGTTTTTTTTTTCTACCGGAACTATGCTCTCATTTGGTATTAATAAGCTGGAATTATGTCCAATTAAAATCTTTTAATCAAAACGGATGGAAAGAACAGGGCAGAGAAACGGTTTGCTGTATTCACACTGCAACTCTTATGCATTTTTTTGATATTATTGTTCCGCATGCTTTTGAATGCTTAATGGCGCAATTCTTCCAGTTTCTAAAGTAGCCAGTAGGGAAATCTCTCATGAATCACCGTCTCGCGGTACAATGCATTTCACTTTCCCTATCTACGTTTATTGTTCAATATTTTCCCAGATTTACGAGATTGTCTAGCATATTTCTATAAAATCATGAAGCATTCTAAAGAATATTACATTACAGCAATTATGAGTAAATTATAAAAATGATAACACAAAAAGAAAAATTTATCATTTGTTATTAATTATAATAATTGTTGCAATTCACAGATTCTCGCAAAACGTTAAAAAATTATGATTTACAGTTTCATTAATAGTTTTATTTTAATGACAATTATGTAAACTGATATATATACCCGGGAAAGAATGTTATACTATATATATATGAACATATTTTATATATAATTATATATAATTATGAAACATTTTTTCTTGAGTAAAAACAAAGGAATTAAATTAAACAATAAAGATAAAATGTAAATTTTGTATTTATATATTCACATCGAATAATCAAATTTAATTCTGTTGCCAAAATTGAATTTAAAAAAATGTTCAGCTTATCATGATCGACAAATACCTATTTGTTTGTTTTGTATAAAAAAGGCTTCCGGAAAATTCGAGCTTTTGTAACAAATGCATTTGTATGTGCATTGTGAGTAAAATGTATTTATTTGTAAAATATATCCGTTGTATTTCATTCTGAGTTCGGTTGTCCGTTGTACATTCACACAGTGATATATGTGTGTGTGTGTGTGTGTGTGTGTGTGTGTGTGTATGTGTGTGTGTGTGTGTGTGTGTGTGTGTGTGTGGGTGGGAAAATGCATTTGTATATACGAGAGGATTAAATTACTTCGAAATATTGCTTTCATTCGCGAGTTTCATGCTCAGCAGTGCAGTCTCTCTTACTTTTAATTTAATTTAATTAAGCTCAAACAAACACTGTAAAATAATTCTACAATTTTACAATATTACAGTTTTACAAACCCTTTCATGTCTTGTTTTTATAAACGATACAATAGTTACTAAATAATGTGTAACATTTTTTTATATCTATTTAACTTTACGCATCACTTTCTTCACGTTTCTATATAATTAATTGATTTAACTCTAATTTTTATATAATTATCAACGATGCGGTAGTTTGATTGTGATGCCCGTACGTCGAGCATGCTGGACATTTGGAGCAGGAGAATACGCCCCCGAGATAAATTATGAGTTTATAGTAATAATAAACACCGTATCTTTGAACTGGAAGTATTAAATTTCTTTACACGGCGATCGTCGCGTCGTTTATCGAACAACAGACGTTAGCAACAGTGAAATCATGTGATAATGACGTAAATCGACGGGCAGCAAATATTTTAATGTTTAATTCATGGTATCTTCAAGTAGGTGTGTTTAATAATATCTGTAACGGAAACATATTTTTTTAACAACTTTCACTTTCTGTTACTAGTATAAATGTATTTGTTTCATGGATCTTTTTTTCCGGAATTTTGAGCATGCATGACGCTTTTGAAAATTTCATTTATTATTTTTAAATTTTATTTTATTATTTTTATTGTAACTTATGAAAAGAAGAGCGTAAAAACACCGCACAAGATATTGCTTGTGATATTTAATTATCATTACATTAATAAAACATTAGACGTTTCGGCCACAATCTGGCCATCTTCAGTAAATTCACAATATTCTTAAAACGCAGAATTACATATATCTGACATTAAATTCAACCGTTGTGTAATATAACTATGTATAAACATGTTCTTTCATCATGTGAAGGTGCATCGTACAATAATGTTGCAGCGCCAATTGTCATATTGCGAATTATGTAGAACAAGAATTTCCAGATTCTAATTTAAAAAATTAACCTATCATTAATATCTTCTAGTCGATTGTATGAGAATTGAATCGTTACCTGTTTTACACAAAATGATGAATCTTAAGCACTTCCTTTACGCAGATGGAAATTCGTTGTGACATTGTGTTATTATTTGTCATATCATATACGTTACCACTATTTATGTATATGTCAAAAGTTTAGATTTAGTCTAGAATTATTTATTAAGTGTGTGAAAGATCTTTCTTTAGAAAAGGCAGATCTATCACATATTCAGGGCTTTAATATCGCTTACAAACCTATAAATAAAATGAATAGATTTATTAAAACTGGAAAAGATTCTTTGCGTAAAAAGGAATTGTGGAGTGGTTTATAAAATAAATTGTTTAAATTGTGAGTCTTCTTATGTTGGCCAAACAAAAAGGAAATTAAAAACTCGAATAAAAGAACATAAGGCTGACATAAGATCCACCTCGGAGATGTCAGTAGTTTCACGTCACCAGTTGAATGAGATGCATGAATTGGATTGGGATAATATCAGAATTTTAGACACAGAACAATCATTATTGAAAAGAAGAATTTCTGAAATGATATACATAAAAAGCCAAATAAATAATATCAATAAGCAAAGTGACACCGAAGGTTTGCCCGATGTTTATCTGCCTTTTCTAAAGAAAGATCTCTCACACACTTAATAAATAATTCTAGAACAAATTCTAAACTTTTGACACATATATATAAATAGTAGTAACATATATGATATGAATAATAACATAAATAATAACACACAACGTCATGACAAATTTCCATCTGTGTAAAGGATGTACTTGAGATTCATCATTTTTTTGCTGTAAAAGGTAACGACTCTATTCTCATACATTTCGACTAGAAGATATTAATGATAGATTAATTTTTTAAATTAGAATCTGGAAATTCTTGTCCTACATAATTCGCAAAACTGGTAAATATATATCAACGATATATATATATATATATATATATATATATGTATATGTATATATTTATATATCGAGAGAGAGAGAGAGAGAGAGAGAGGAAAGAAAGAGAGAGAATTATATTAGGTGTTGGAATTAATTCGTAGCGTTTTACAAGTGATGGGAAGTACTTTCATTAATGTATTTTTTAATGCTCATGTGAAATAAATAACATTCTTTCATTAAAAAACGCTACGAATTAATTCCAACACCTAATAATATCAAGTCTTAAATTGTTATTTTGGCCAAAATTGTTTGTTCTTTGGCACATCCTACTGAAATATAAATGCAAGGTGCATTCTATGTTTTCAGTCTTAAAACAGAATCGTTTGAATGTCCTTGCTATAGTTAAACGTCAATGCATTGATGACAACACACACACACACACACAACGTGCAAGCTGAGCAAGTGCTCTCATTACGAAGGGAAATCCTTCGACGTGTACTTAAAAGACAAGTCATTCTTTTACGTATTTTTTTTCTCGAAGTATCTGTAACTATGTCCCTGGAGGTACAAAATAGATTTTCACTGTCGTTACGAACTATAACTCGATTAAAGTGCGGGCAAGCTCGTGTCAAGGAAATCGCCCGGCTGCCGCGTCCTCTAGTAACCTTATTGAGGCGAACTGGGCGACAACCTTGCCTTGTAATTCCGTAATCCTATATTGCAACTCGATTCTGTTAGTTGCTCCTTCGTGGAATTAGCCATGATTTGGTCTGATCTTGATTGTCCATCAAAATAGAAAAATGA